GACAAATATGACCACACTTCATTCTTTTTTTTAATGCCCATGATTTCACCCGAATGGCCTGCTTTGGCGTTGATGTACTGTAGAGCATATATATTACTTTGGTCCACTATCAAATTGTAGAGGTCTTTGGTGGAAAAACAGCTAAAAAAAGTCAAGGGGTGTTGTTAAGTTCATTGTATCCACCTGAACCCTGGGTTGGGCTGTGAGTGGAAGGATAATGGGTGCTTCTGAATCTTAGGGCAGCCAATTAGCGTTTGCAAACACCTCTGGAGGGTTACCATGGGCTCTATGGACCTGTGCTTGAATTCTTGGCAGCTGCAGTTGCATTACATTACTAGCACTAGCCACCTCACCAGCGTTTACTGCACTGCTGGTGCTTGTCACTCCACCATGGAATACTGCAGTGCTGGTGTCCAAAAGGGCAAAGATTTACTATGCTGCTGGTGCTTTCTAGATGACCAAAAAGTTGTGCAGTGCTAGTACTTGTGCCCCGCTGTATTTGAGCATAATTATGCATTTCTAGCACTTCAGCAACATGGGGTTGGTCATACCTGGTTTTAGCACCATCGTCCAAGCTAGCTGTCAGGGTGCCACTGCTTTCTACAGGTTTATATTCTGAGCCTGATTTTTGAGAGTGAGGCCTCCCCTTCTCTCTCATCTGTCATGCTCAGAATCCTGTAGGCCTCTTCACCTGTCTACCTTGTTTTGGACAGTTTTGACACTATCTTTACAGGTACTTAGTGGTAATCAGGGGCGGACTGACCATTTGGAAACTCGGGCGCTGCTCGAGGGCCCGGGGTCAGTAGGGGGCCCCATGAGATGCTCCTGGTACCTTTTTCATAGGCTTTTTTGAGTTTGGGCAAGACACAGGGGCCCCATGATCCCCTATTGCCCGGGGGCACCATGAGTTGTCAGTCCGCCCCTGGTGGTAACTATCAAAAAAAAGAGAGCCTGGCTCTAGCAATCAGGTACTGCTTGTGAAATAAGAAATACAATTAACTGCTAGTGCTAGCAGAAATCAAGGATGATCTTGCTAACACTGCAGTTTTGTGGACAAAGTATCAGAGATGGCAGTGATCCAAAAAATTACACTAAAACACTGCACTTGTTGGATTGGGTGGAGAGCTAAATGCAAGTGCTGGCTGGTACTGTTAATATTGCATTTTTGGGGACATTATACTATTGTGGACCCTAGTATAGTTTCAAATATATAAAAAAAATGTAAAAAAACATTTTTTTTTTAATTCTAATTTTTGATTATAAACTAATATGGGTTTTTATTTTTACTAAAAAGATAACTGAATACACTGTGGCCAAGATTTATGATGAAATATTATTTGCAAAATTTTATAAGAAAAACACTTTTCAATTTTTGGACTTTTTCATTTATATAGCAAAAAAAAATTAAACCCCAGTGGTGAATAAATACCACCAAAATAAAGTTTTATATGTCTCAAAAAATGCTAAAATATTCATATGGGTACAGTTTTGCATGACCGCGCAATTGTCAAAGTGTAATAGCGCTGAAACATGAAAATTGGCCTGGACAGGAACGGGGGTAAAAGTTCCTGGACTTGAAGTGGTTAATTATACAGAAACTAAAACTATTTTAGCTCCAGAAAGTGGGCCTCCAGAAGGAAAAAGAGGAAGCAGCTGTGTCTGTCAATGAACATAAGAGAAATTTTACATTTTTTGTTAGGGATGCACCAAAATTCTGGTGGGCGAAACGTTTCGGCTGAAAACACCCTTTTCAGCTGTCTGCCGAAATGAAAAAAAAGCACCAATACAGGTGCTGAAAAAACCCCACCCCTTGGTAGTTCAGTTTTACCTGAGAAACCATCGATCCCGGCGCTAGGCATAGAGATGAATGAAGGAAAGATGGCCGCCACACATCTCTATGCCCTTGGAGGACCGGAGCAATGTCACTTCCGGTTCTGGCCATTTTTTTTTTAAAAGCACTAGATCAATGCTTTTTTTTTTAATCCAATGCTTTACATTGTAGAGGAGTGATGTGGGGTCTTATTGACCGAATATCTCTTCATAAAGAGGACCTGTCACTAATTATTCCTATCACAAGTTATGCATGCATTCCTTGTGATAAGAATAAAAGTGATTACAATTATTTTAAAAGGAACAGTGCAAAAAAAAAAAAGAAAAAAAACATTATTTTTTTTTTAAAGTTTAACGTGCCCTCGTCCCCCCGTGCTCGCACATAGTGGTGAATGCATACGTAGGCCATGCCCACATATGTAAACGCTGTTCAAACCACACACGTGAGGTATCACCACGAACGTCAGAGCAAGAATTCTCACACTAGACCTCCTCTGTAACTTTACACTGCTAACCTGTAGACATTTTTAACCAATTCAATACCGGGCAATTTTATACCTTCCTGCCCAGGCCATTTTTCAGGTTTCAGCGCTCTCACACTTTGAATGACAATTGCGCGGTCATACAACATTGTGCCCAAACTAAAATTTTATAATTTTCTTCACACAACTAGAGCTTTCTTTTGGTGGTATTTAATCATCGCTGGGGTTTTTATTTTTTGCTAAATTAACAAAAAAGACCAAAAATTTTGAAGAAAAAACACGTTTTTCTTTGTTTCTGTTATAAAAGTTTGCAAATAAATAATTGTTCTTCATAAATTTAGGCCGAGATGTATTCTGCTACATGTCTTTGGTGAAAATAACCCAAATTAGGATGTATTATTTAGTTTGTAGGAAAGTTATAGAGTTCACAAACTATGGTATAGATCTGAATATTGATCAATCCTGAAGTACTGACAGCCAATCTAATTTCTTGAGGTCTAAGAATGTCAGAACAGTACAGATATCCCCAAATGACCCCTTTTTGCAGAGTAGACAGTCCGACGTACTTCATAAGAGGCATGGCGAGTTTTTTGAAGTTGTATTTTTTTTGTCATCATTTTTCGGAAAATTTTAAAAAAGTAAAAAAAAATTATTTTCACTATTTTTTTTTACATACTGTCACCAGTGCAGTACAGCATCACCATATAACTGGCATGACAGTGATCAGGTGACAGTGTGAAAAAAAAAAATTTTTTTTAATTTTTTTTATTTTAAATTTTTTATTAAATTTTTATTTTTTTTAAGATTTTTTTTCATATCTCACTATGTCCAAAGTACCGTATTTTTCGCTCCATAAGACGCACTTTTTTTCCCCTCAAAAAAGGAGGGAAAATGTCAGTGCGTCTTATGGAGCGAATATGGAGCGGCCGGTCCGGTATTTCCACCGCGGCCGTGTCAGAATACCGGGCCGGCCACTCAGCTCTACAGCGGGACCTTATGGAGATGACTGCTGACCTTTGGGGAGGTGGGGAGCGGGTACCTGAATTTGACAGGTACCCGCTCTTACTTTGTTCTTTGATCTTACCTGTTCCTCTATCCAGCGGCGCGCTGTCTTCCGGCTTCTGTAGTGTGGGCATGACAGCCGGGTGCCAAGTGTGCATGCGCAAGAAGCGGTGCTTTTTGTGAATGGTAAGGCGGTAACTGGGACACATGACAGATCCCAGAAGCCGCCGGACCAATCACAAAGCGCAAGTGCTTCTCGCTCATGTGCACTGGGCACCCGGCTGTCATGCCGAGCACGATCCGCAGTCTCTGGTCATCCCTGTGCTGTCCGCAGTCTCTGGTCATCCCTGTGCTGTCCGCAGTCTCTGGTCATCCCTGTGCTGTCCACAGTCTCTGGTCATCCCTGTGCTGTCCGGAGTCTCTGGTCATCCCTGTGCTGTCCGCAGTCTCTGGTCATCCCTGTGCTGTCCGCAGTCTCTGGTCATCCCTGTGCTGTCTGCAGTCTCTGGTCATCCCTGTGCTGTGTCTGCAGTCCATTAGTTCAGAATTTTTTTTTCCTGTTTTCTGCCTCTAAAACCTAGGTGCGTCTTATAGTGAGGTGCGTCTTATGGAGCGAAAAATACGGTAGTACAATGTTACCATAGTAACATTGTACTACTTTGGGGAAGTGATCAGTATTTTTTTTTTTTGCATGCTATAAGCAAGCATTTACCTGAATGACATCGATTCATTCAGGGTTTTTTTTTTTTTTTTTGTGCTTAGCTGTGATTTGGCCACAGCTAATCACATGACATGTGCATGTGATTAGCTGTGACCATTCACAGCTAGACACTAGTATACAATAGATGGCATGAATGAAGCCATCCATTGTATACAACTGTCATGTGACCTGCTGTGATTGGTTACAGCAGGTCACATGGTACCGGCAACCCGGGGGCCGGTACTCAGATCTGTCATCGGCCGTGTCCGAGGTACATGGCCGGTGACAGATCGCGCCACTGCGTGGCTCTGCAAGCGCGCGAACTGCGCATGAGCGGGAGGACGCCATATTGCGCCCTCACGGAAAGCTAATACATTTTTGCGGATGCCATTTGGCCATAGGCTGGGCGTCAAATGGTTAAAGCATCACCCAGGGAGATTTTTAAGTACCGCAGTTTCACGCCATTCTACGAGCATGCAGAATTTTAAAGTGTGACATGTTGCGTATCTATTTACTCGCCGTAACATCCTCTTACATATTTTACAAAACAATTGGGGTATATATTTTTTTTTTTTTTAAAAAAAGTGTAGTTTTTCCAAAACTATGTACTCATTTTTAAAAAACTGCGCGTTTCAGTTTTCGGCCAAGCGCATTTGGAATTTTCGGTTTCAGCACCAGAATTTTCATTTCGGTGCACCATTTTTTGTTGTACAATTATACAGAAAATGAAACTATTTCAGCTCGAGAATAAAAATCCTCGTTTGACTCAAAATAAAAAGCGTGTATTCCAGCATTGTCTGCTGTATATTATTGGTGAGGTGAATCCCCTCATAGCCGGAGACAGGTGGCCGCCACTGCACAGCCTCCCCTCATATTACACCCGGCCAGCGGGCCCTGCGCTTAGTCAGCAGTAGGCGTGCCGGAGTGACGCGAGTTGTGGGCGGGGCTGCGTGTGACGGCTCAGTACTCCGGAGGAAGGTGAAGACATGTGGCCGGCAATGAGGCTGATCCGGCGCCAGCTGAGCTCGGTGGCCCGCGGACTGGTGTATGAGAAGCACGGGGAACCATCGCAGGTGCTTCGGTGAGACATTGACTCCCACGTGAGATGGCCTAGAGGAGCGCGGCATGATGGGAAGAAGCGTGGTTAGGAGCATCGTATGGGAGAAGGGGGCGTGGCTAATGGACTGCCCTTGGTTCGGCTATGACGTTGTATACCTAAAGCTGAGGGCACGGCTAAGCTAATGGGAAGATAGGTGATCGCTATGGCAATGGATGGGGTAACAGGCAATCCAGGAGAGACAAAAAATACAAAACAAAGCTGAAATTATTCTCAATTGAGTTTTCTATGCAACCTTGCTGATGTGTCTTAGCAGCGCGGGTGTCTCTGTCGCTAACACCCCGGTCATATCTGGTGCGATTTGTATGCCATGCCACTTGCAAATCGTATGCCAAGTCGGACCCTATTGCCTGCAATTAGAGCGATTAAATCGGTCCGACTTGGTCGGAGCCACACCGATATCTAAAATAGTACATGCACTTTTGGTGCGATCTGCATAGACCTCTGTATAAGATGTCTTGCAAATCGCACCTGAAATCAGCATCTCACCCAACTTTTATAATCATGCGACTGCACTTTCAGGCTTGCTGTGACCCTGGGGGGGGGGGAATTGGGGGAATTTAGGGACAGCCGTTTTGCTGTTATCTGTTTTTTTTTTTTTTTTAAAATAAGTGCCCAGTCCTACTGGTGTGAATTGAAATCACCTCTAATGAATGTGAAAGTGTCTTACCCTGTGCGATTTGCTGCAGCGAGATTGCTATAAAGTAGTTCTTGCATTACTTTTTCAGCAGTTTTGTTGCAATTTCATAGAATACATAGAATGGAAATCACACTGCAAATTGGAGGAACTTTTTGAAAATGTTCACAAATAGCAATAGAGTCTTCAGAAATCGTTCTGAAATTGTACACAGATTGTATGATTGTAAATCGCAGCGGTGTGACCGGCGATAGCAGTTTTGCCGTTCTTTCATTTTTTTTTTTTTTAAAGATAAGTGCTCGGTCATACCAGTGCGATTTCCTAATTGAAATTGTATCTAATGAATGTCGGTGTCTTAGCCCCCAGTCACATCAGGTGCGATATGGCATGCAATTTGCATGCCAGGCGACTTGCCATTCGCATGGCAAGTCGCATCCTATTGTCCACAATTACAATCAGTGCGCTTCCGACTTGGTCGGAGCCGCACTGATTTCTAAAGTAGTACATGCACTACTTTTCGTGCGATTTGCATAGACATCTGTTGGGGGGGATGCTGAGGATTAACCCCTTAGATGCCAGAGTGAGTATGACAAGGATGCCTTACTGCATGTACAGACAGTTTAATTAGCAATAGCCTGAACTTCCACTTTAAGGGCTGGTCCACACCAGATGCAGTCCAGTGCGTTTATTTTTCTGTATCAAAAATGCTTGCACAGTGTTTTCCATGTATTCCAGTGACCCTAGTTCACACCAGTGCATTCAGTTTCCGGTGCAGAGGAAAATGTAGAACATGCTGCATTTGGTCTGCACAGAACCATACTGGAACATGGCAAACTACATCAAAACTGCACCGGAACTGCGTGTGGTGTGAACTGTAAGCAAAACCGTATCCGGAATGCATCCAGAGTGCATTTTTGTGATGTGAACTGGCCCTTAAGCTGAGCTCCAGACAAAAATAAAATTGTAATGTAACTCTGTACACTTTATTTTTCTACATGCAGTTCAAGTACCTCAGCCTCCTGCAGTTTATCTACAGCAGAGCTCAGACTGGAGAAGGGAGAAGCAGCACAAGGAGCCAATCGTTTGCTCTGCAGGCTAAGCAGCACACTGATGGGGGAGGATAGAGCAAACAGATATGAACATGAGCTCCTTGTTCTGCTGCTTCTCATTTGGTGTCCCAGGGTGGTGGAGGGGAGAAGACCTGTAAAGTTGGTCCACCAGCACATTGTGAGCTGACAGTGGCACCCACAGTTGTCAGAATAAACTGATCATGAGCTGCAGCTGATCAGTGAACATTTTCCAGTGTGTCCCTTTGTCAGAAGTCAATTAAATTCTGTCAAGTGCGGGCAGCCACACACTGATCAACATTCAGCCAGTGTAGGGACCGATTTACAGTAGTATTGTGAATTGCAGCAGAGAACGAGCAGATCTTCCCTGCTAGATAGGGCTGTGTTGTCACAGAAATAAGTACAAATCCTTTGACAGGCAAAGCAACTCCCTTAGTCACTGGTCACACCTCTGCGATTTAAAATCCCACAATTTGTGTGCACTTTCAGTGTGATTTTCTGAAGGCTTTTTTTGCTACTTGTAAGGATTTTCAATGATTTCTTGCAATTTGCAGTACACTTTTCATTATATTCTATGTATGTGAAATCGCAACAAAACTGCAGAAAAAGTAATGCAAGAACTACTTTAGAAATCATGCTGCAGGAAATCGCACATGTTAAGACACTGACATTCACATTTGTTAGATGCAATTTCAGGTGCGATTTCAATTCGCATATCGCACTTGAAATCGGTATGATCAGGCACTTTATATGAATTTTATCTCTGAAATTAAAGTGGTTGTAAATGCAGGAGGTTTTTTACTCAGGGCGCTGGCAGAAGACCCAAGAGTAGAATCAGATCTGTTCTGTGCAAAACTATTAGGCTACTTTCACACTGATCCGCCGCAAAAATGCATAGGTGTTTTTACCGTGCTTTTTTCTGCACTTTCTGAGTGGTTTTAAAGGACGTGTGACTTAAAAACTGCACCAAAAACGCTTCTCAGAGGCACTTTTCAGGTGTTTTTTAAGCATTTTTCAGACATTTTCCCATGATTTCAATGGGAAGAGGCATTTTTCTTTTTAACTCCCCAAACATACCCCAAAGAGAAGTTTTTACACTGGACCACAAGCACTATGCCTCAGTGTGAAAACATACATAGATATACATTCACATACATAATATAGTGTCTTTCTTGAGCTTTTCAGGCGCTTTTTTTTTTTTTTTTTTTTTTTAATGCAATAACGCTTCAAAAACTCCTCAGTGTGAAAGTAGCCTTGCACAGAGCAAGTAAGTATAACATGTTGTATACATGTTGTTATACCCAGGTCACAACCCAACTTTAAAATCATGTGCCTTACAGTGAAGTTTCAAAGTTGGGTGACATGCCAATTTCAGGTGCGATTTGCAAGACATCTGACACCAAAAGCAGTGCATGCACTACTTTAGAAATCGGTGTGGCTCCGTCCAAGTCAGAACCGCACAGCTGTAATTGGGGACAATAGGGTGCGACTTGGCATGCGATTTGCATCCAGTGTGACCGGGTCGTTAATAGAGAAAAAAAAAGTTTTCTAATCGCTTTAACTTGATATCAGATTTAACACTTTCAGTTGTACTTGGTGTATCTGTTTAAAAAATAGTCACAGTTTCCAAAGACTATTAAAGCGGAACTAGATCCATTATTTTAACAGTTTCAAAAAACAGTTATGTCCCTGGCAAGCCAAGATGCTAACTGTCACATTTGCTTCTACTCTCAACCAAACTGTCAAAGCATCAAATGGCCGGTGTCATAACTGATCACACGTGCAGCAACATGACAATTGCAGATCAAAGACTAAGATGGCAGCATCCTTAGCTGAAAAGAATAGGAGAGTTTACTTACTGGTCAAACCGCTGCGATTTGTTTGCAATTTCAGCTCGATTTCTGAAGACTTTATTGCTACTTGTGAAGATTTTCAACGATTTTTTGCAATTTGCAGTGCGCTTTCTATTATATTCTATGTATGTGAAATCGCAACAAAACTGCAGAAAAAGTAATGCAAGAACTACTTTTGAATCATGCTGCAGCAAATCGCAATTGTTAAGACACTGACATTCGCATTTATTAGATGCGATTTCAATTCCCAAATGGTACCTGAAATCTCACTGGTATGACCGTGCATTTAGTTCTGTTTTAAAAAAAGTATGTTTTCATCTGATTGGGTTTTTAGCTTGTCTTTAAAGTAGAACCAAACCTCCAAAAAACACTCGCCTCCACCTTCCAGCAATGTGCCATGTTACAGCCCTCACTGGTCCCTGTCTTCTTCTTCACAGCTACTTTCTGGTGCCAAGTTTTCGGCTTTTTAATTGGCCTATGGGGGGAATAATATTATCACATGGGAGTCAGTCGTTCAGTCACACCAAAAGTAGCAATGTGTTTGCGGCCTGCATATGGGGTGTCATTGACCCTAGGTTCACACCCAAGCATTTTCCGCAGCATTTTGCGCTTTGCAGAAACGCACTACAGTCCATTTAACATGATTTCCTATGGGGCACATTCACACCTCCGCGTTTGCATCCGGTGCAGTTTTTGGAAAGGGTCAGGGACCGTTTTTGAATGCAAAAAAATGAGTTTTTGGTTCTTTAGACTTCAATGGAAACACTGTAGAAAAGCAAGCAGTGCGTTTTTGATGCGTTTTAGCATTTTAAATCTGCCTAGCAACAAGACATTTTTTTTTTAAAAAAACACAGGTGCAAAAACACAACGCAAAACGCAATGCAGAAACGGGTCAAACACAAACTGTATAAGTGTGAACCTAGGATAACTTTTTATTGACACCCGCTGCAGATCACAAATTTACTGCATTTTGCATATACAGTTTGAATCGCATAGGAACGCACAGTGCGTTCCTATGCGTTTCAGCTGCAGGCATAGTTTGAGCCTGGCCTAAATTGGCCCAGTTGAAGGACTAAACCCACCAGGAAGCAGACCAGGATCCAAACATGCCCATGCTAATCCCTAGGTATGCCTTTTTGATTTTGGTTTAAAAAAAAAAAAAAAAAAAAAGAAAGTTGATTGTTCCTTTTTTGTCTGTTTTTGTTTTGTAGGAAGAATCTAAATGTCTTAGAGAACCTTCAGCCTACCCCTCACCCCCAGTTTTTTTTTCTATACCCCCCTTTATCAGGTGGTGGTGTAGGCACGGTATGGATACTTGCCCAGGCAACGGATCCAGCATTGTCCCACTGACATCCTTCTGTCAACAAACACTGCTTAGTCCGCGATGACGTGTTACTTGTGACGTCATCAAGAGGCCCACCAGCTCTTCCGGGTTAAGCCGGCGGAGCCTCACAATGACATGCTCCCCTCCTACTTACTGAAAGACTAAAGGCCTTTTGGGGTATGTGATGAGCATATGCCAGGAGGCCCAGTGAGCACTTTTGATTGAAAAAAAACAAAATTCTTGTAGTGGAGTTGTCAAGAGGTGGGAACTTCACAAAGAGGGTGAAGATCCGCTCTAATGTACATAGGCTTAAAGTAAAAGGGTAAATCAGCAACTTTTTTTTATGTTTTATTTTTGTTTTTGGTTGAGCGTATCTCAACCTGTAAACCAAAATACAGTAGGGGGAAGGGGTGGGAGGGGGGTTTTCCTAACAGTGAAGCACACAATCTTATTTTATAGTAACCAATCTGCTTCCAGGTTTTATTGTCAAAACCTAATTGAACAAGCTGAAGTTAGAAGCTGATTGGCTACCATACATAGCTGCACCAGATTCTGTGTGCTCCAGTTTTCGTAAATCTCCCCCAAAATGTTGCAGTTTACCATAACTTAAATGCAGTGGCTGTTTTCTATTTTTTTAGCAAGTGCAAACAGTACCCATTGATCTTACCAGTAATGCATGACCTTGTCTCTTTCTGTGAGCTGAAAAGACAGCAAATACCTTTTAACCTATGGTCATTACAAAGCCACAACAGCAATCGGCTTCAGTACGGATGTAAAAATGAGGATGCACAAAGTGCTGCCATAGTCCATAGAAACAAAGTATATGGATAGATGTCTTAAAGGACAAAAATAGTGTACAAAGCACAAAACCCACACAGTAGTCATTAATTTACTTTAGGTTTTTATATGACTCCGAACTGAGTTCTGATTCACTGTTATAGTTTGTTGTGTTTTATATGCATCTTTGCTTGTTACATTATTTATTACTTATACAAAATGGGGATTATTTAATAACTAAATAATACTAATTCTCTTCTATTCTGATTAGTTTGCAGAGACTAGAGGTTGCTTCACCAACAGATTATGAAGTGAAAGTTAAAATGTTGGCTGCCCCCATAAATCCTTCTGACCTTAACATGATTCAAGGTAAGATATCTTGTGATAAATTCTTGTGGAAGAAGTTTGAACTGTGAGCATACAAATACAATTAACCTAAAAATGTACAAAGTACACCATATGCAAGTGTTTCCTTTTTTTTTTTTTAAGGATTATTCCACCCAAAACAGATATTACCAGTTGTGATAGATGCTGGAGAGGATAAGTTCACTTTTTGCTCAAAAAATAATAAATGCACATTTGTTTTGCAGGTAAAAAAATGTGAGTTTATTACTTTTGTCTGCAGGAGCCTAGAAAGCATTGCACCAGCAATCAGCAGGTCACTGGTGCCATGCAGGTCTCCTGCAGATCTGCTTGCCCATACGGGATGTACGAGCAAGCAGATGCTTACTGACAGTTCTGTGGTAGTTCATTAAGGACTACAAGCCCACAGCCACTAAGGCTGTCGGGACTTGTAGTGCATTAATTCACGGAACTCTGTGAATGAATGATGCGGCCGTGTGGGTGGAGCCCCGCATGGCCGTGCTGTTTTCAAATCTGATAGTACAGGGGAACTTCACCCCATACTTCGTCAGGAGGGAAGGGGGACTGTGGGCAGCGGCTGCAGCATTGGGAACATGTTAAAAGTTCCACCCTAAAAACAGGTGGAATATGTATCATGCTTTATAGGTAAACTTATCCTTTAACCACTTGACCTCCAGAGGATTTACCCCCCTTAATGACCAGGCCTCTTTTTGCTACTCGGCGCTGCACTAATTCAACTGATAACTGCGCGGTCATGCAATGCTGCACCCAAACGAAATTTACGTCCTTTTTTTCACACAAATAGAGCTTTCTTTCGGTGGTATTTGATCACCTGTGCGCTTTTTATTTTTCACGCTATAAACAAAAAAAGGCCAAAAATTTTGAAGAAAAACAATATTTTTTACTTTCAGCTATAAAAAAATATATAGTAAACTCAAAGTTGGTTATAAATTTAGGCCAAAATGTATTCTGCTACATGTTTTTGGTAAAAAAAATCCCAAGTGTATATTGATTGCTTTGTGTGAAAGTTATAGCGTCTACAAACTATGGTATAGATACTGCAATTTACGCCATTTTTTTGCTATACAGCGCTGCGCTAGTTTAACGGACAATTGCGCGGTCATGCAATATGGTACATAAATGAAATTTACATCCTTTTTTTTTTTTTTTCCCCACAAATTGAGCTTTCTTTCGGTGGTATTTGATCGCCTGTGCGGTTTTTATTTTTTGTGCTATAAAAAAAAAGGCTCACAATTTTGAGAAAAAAAAACAATATTTTGGACTTTTTGCTATAAAACATATATCCAGTAAAAAAAAAATTAAAAATCAAATTTAGTCATAAATTTCTGCCAAAATGCATTCTGCGACATGTCTTTGCTAAAAAAAAAAAACCCAATACATGTAAATTGGTTTACGTGAAAGTTATAGCGTTTACAAATGGCGGGAAAGATACTGGGATTTTTAGTTTTTTTTTTTTTTTTTTTATACTAATAATGGCGGCGATCAACGACTTATGGCGGCGATCAGGGACTTATGGCGGGACTGCGGCGGACATTCTGACACTGGGGGGGTACTGACTTGGGGTCACTGACATCCCCAGTGACACCAATACAGTGATCAGTGCAAAAAAAAAAAACACTGACACTGTACTAATGGCACTGGGGAGGAAGGGGTTAAGTTTATTTTGCAGGGAAGGGTTATCTGTGTGAAGGGGAGTGTTTTACTAGGGGGCGGGGGTGTACTGCAGGGGACATGGCTGATCTGGAGAGTGAAACTGTCCCGATCAGCTTGTCCTCGAGCTGTCAGGGAAGTGACAGAAAGCACAGCTACTGCAGCTGTGCTCTCTGTCACTGATTGCCGCCGATCGCTGGGAAATAGCCTGTAAGGACCGGCTGTGACCCGGCGACTGACATCCGCGGCTGTGATCGGCGGGACAGGTAGGGCGGCGGCATGCCTCGCGTGCGCCCCCTACCTGTTTACAAAACACACGTTTTAAAACGTGGTTTTGCCTGCCCGTGCCGCCCTGCCGCCGTATTTCTACAGTGGCAGGGCGGCAAGTGGTTAAAGTTGAATTCCAGGTAAATATAGAAGACAAACAATGCAGCTCTGTATTTATTAATACATCATCATATGTATTTTTAAATTTCATGCAGTGTATGTGTTTGAAATTGATAAGAAATCAGCCTCTTGCAATCTATTGTACAGCAGAGCTCAGTCTGACAGACATACAAGGGGCATGCCAATAAGAGAGTGCAGTGACAAAGACAGATGCAAAAGGCAGAAGAGCTCATTGGTCTGCTGCTTTCTTTATTCATTGTCCAGTCAAAAGCTGGAGGAACAAGACCTCTTACCTAACTGCAGTAGTGAAAAATCAAGTCTTCTGTCCTTCCAGACAGGGCTGTGCTGAGTGGCAGTGTGGTGAAAATTTTATTACTGCCGAAACAGAAATACAAACTCCCGGCAGGTAAAACAGACACCATATACAAATGTAATCTGTGTGTCTGGAGGTTAGCTTTAAACCATGTGAAATAGATTTTTTTTTTCTCCAAGGAAGTTTGATGAGATCTCTGCATTTCATATTCTAGGCCTGTACATATGCCATGGCCATTGCAAGGAGGTCCCAAACTCTTATAGAAAAATGCAGCAGAAGGGTAATTATAGCAGGGAGATTTTGGTGTTGGAAGCCGATCAGCCAAAACATTATGACAGGTAAAGCCGGTGGGATATATTAGGCAGCAAGGGAACTTGATTTGTTGAAAGCAGAAAAAAAATGGGCAAGCATAAGATTTCAAGCAAACAAGAGCTAAATTGTAATGGCTAGGTCACTGGGTCTGAGCATCTCGAATACTGCAGTTTTTGTGGGTTGTTCCCAGTCTGCAGTGTCTGGGCCTACCAAAAGTGGTACAAGGAAGGAAAACCAATGAACTGGTAACAGGGCAACCAAGGTTCATTGATTTACGTGTGGGGACAAAGGCTGGCCTGTGTAGTCCTATCCAAAAAAAGAGCTACTGTACAAACTGCTGAGAAAATTAATGCTGGTTCTGATGGAAAGATGTCAGAACACACAGTGCATGGTAGTTTGCTGTGCATGGGGCTGCATAGCTGAAGTCAGGGTAGGGTGTCCGTGCTGACCCGTGCTTCCATCCAAAAGCACCTACAATGGGCATGTAAGCATTAAAACTGGCTCATGGAGCAATGGAAGAAGGTGGCCTGGTCTGCTGAATTCAAGAATGGTTTGAGGAACACAACAACGAGTTTGAGGTGTTGACTTGACCTCAAAATCCTCCAGGTCTCAATCCAATCGACCATCTGTGAGATGTGGTAGTAAAAAAAAAGTCTGACCGATGGAGGCCCCACCTTGCAAATGACAGGACTCAAAGGACCTGTTCCTGATGGCTTAGTGCCAGATGCTACAGCATACTTCAGAAGTCTAGTGGAGCTCATGTCTAGACAGGTTATGATGAGTAGCCATAATGTTATGGCTGATTGCTGTATAAAGCCAAGGACTGCTACAGTTCAACAAGTTACATCACTTTTGGGTAAACTTATTCTTTATACACACAATTTAAGCTGCATATGCAGAGTTTTTAAGGGTTTGTGTCAATGGCTTTGTGCTTGTGTTGATGACATCAATATGCCACCAGTTTGACATGATTTTGAGATCCTTCAGAATTCATTGACAGGTGTGTTTGAAGTTGGTGAAAAGGAGGTCAATTTTACGTCAAACAGGTTTTGAATTCCCATAGGTTTGTATGGATATTCAAAATCTTTTTCAAGCTAACAAAAGCTTGTCATATCATATCCTAAGGCCTTTGTCTATGACTGTGAACCTTTGTAAGTGACAACATTGTGCAATACCTTATGTTTTCACAGGAACTTATGCTTTGCTGCCCCAGTTACCAGCTGTAGGGGGCAATGAAGGAGTAGGTGTGGTGGCAGCGGTAGGACGTCATGTGTCCTCAGTGAGGCCTGGAGATTGGGTCATTCCAGTGGATGCTGGATTAGGTAATAAAGTATCTAAACTTCTTTTTTTTTTTTTTTTTTTTTTTTCTTTTTTTTTTCCCATTTTAACAGACTTTTGTTATTTTTAAGAGGAGAGATTAGGACATTTGCTACTCTGAATGTTTAGAGCCTGACTCCATGTTTTAGTGAACTTTAGTTTGTTTGGACCCCTCTGATCCAAGCAAACTATTTGCGTCACTAACACTTTCAGCGGCTCTTAGCAGTGTATGAATTGTATGTAGTCTCAGCGACACACAACATATAGCACTGTGTTCTGTCAGCAGGGTATGAACTTCTGGTTCCCAAAACAAAATCAAGTTTGGTTGAGTACTGCTTGGCCTCCCACTGGAAGCTTTTTATCTTGTGAATGCTTAGGCATTGTACAGTGGGGAAAATGATTATTTAATCCCCTGCAGATTTTGTAAATTTGCCCACTTTCAAAGAAATGAAGGGTCTATAATTTTTATCATAGGTGTATTTTAAATGATGGCGACAGAATACCAACAAAAATCCAGAAAAAAAAACACATGATACAAATGTTATAAATTGAGTTGCAGTTCAATAAGTATTTGATCTCCAAGCAAAATATGACTTGGTGCAGACACCCTTGTTTGCAAGCACAGAGGTAAGGCGTTTCTTGTAGTTGGTTACCAGGTTTGCACACATCTCAGGAGGGATTTTGGTCCACTCTTCTTTTTCTAAATCCTTAATGTTACTTGGCTGTCAATTGGCAACTTGAAGTTTCAGCCCTCTATAAATTTTTTATAGGATTAGAGTCTGGAAATTGGCTAGACCACTCCATGACCTTAATGTGCTTCTTCTTGAGCCACTCCTTTGTTGCCTTGGCGGTATGTTTTGGGTCATTGTCATGCTGGAAGACCCATCCACAACCCATCTTCATTGTTTTGTCTCAGGGAAGAAGGTTCTCATCCAAGATGTTTCAATACATGTCCCTGTCCATTGGCCCCTCAATGCGGCAAAGTCAGATTTAGCAGAGAAACCGTCCCAAAGAATAATGTTTTCACCTCCGTGCTTGACTGTAGGGATGGTGTTCTTAGGGTCATAGTTACCAATTTTCTTCCTCAAAACATGGCGAGTCGAGTTAATACCACAAAGCTCAATTTTGGTCTCATCTGACCACAGCACTTTCTCCCAATCCTTCTGAATCATTTAGATGTTCATTGGCAAACTACAGATGGGCATGTACATGTGCCTTCTTGAGGAGGGGGACCTTGCTGGCGCTGCAGGATTTCAGTCCATGGCAGCGTATTGTGTTACCAATGGTTTGTTTGGTGACTGTGGTCCCAACTGTCTTGAGATCACTCACAAGCTCCTCCCGTGTAGTTCTTGGCTGATCTCTCACTTTTCTCATAATTCTTACTCCATGAGGCGAAATCTTGCATGGAGCTCCAGACCGAGGGCGATTGATGTTTATTTTATTTTATATTCCATTTGCGAATAATCGCTCCAACTGTTGTCTCCTTCTCACCAAGCTTCTTGCAGATGGTCTTGTAGCCCATTCCAGCCTTGTGCAGGTCTACAATTTTGTCCCTGACATCCTTTGACAGCTTTTTGGTCTTGGCCATGATGGTGCAGTTTTGAATGGAAGAAAGAGATTCTGTGGACAGGTGTCTTTTTTTTATACACATAACGAGTTGTCGTTAGAAGCACCTTCTTAAATTGACAGGACAAATTTGTGTACCACATGAGTGCACAGCCAGTCTGTGGGAGCCAGAATTATTGTTGGTAGGGGATCAAATACTTCTTTTACTCATCGAACTGCAATTCAATTTATAACATTTGTATCGTGTTTTTTCCGGATTTGTGGTTGATATTCTGTCTCATGTAAAATACAGCTATGATAAAGCTTATAGAACCTTCATTTCTTTGTAAATGGGCAAACTTACAAAATCTGCAGGGGATCAAATAATTATTTTCCCCACTGTGTATATATTTCTATATTTTGCAAAAAAAAAGGGGGGGGACCATCAGAGTTTGCTAACCAAATCTTTTCTTCAGGCACATGGCGTACAGAGGGAATTTTCCGTGAGTCAGCACTAGTACGAGTCCCAAGTGACATATCCATAGAGGGAGCAGCAACTCTGAGCGTTAACCCCTGTACTGCATACAGATTACTGTCTGATTATGAGACTCTGCGACCAGGTAAGTGTCAAGGAACAGGTGAGATCACAGATGGAAAAATTGCTTTACAAAGCTTGCTTTATATTTTTACTTCCTTTTTTCACAGGTGATTCCGTAATACAGAATGCCAGCAATAGTGGTGTTGGTCAGGCTGTTATACAGATTGCAGAATCATTGGGCATTACTACCATTAACATAGTAAGGGATAGGTATGTACATTTCTATATTATGTGATGAGACTTTTGTAACATGGGACACTTCCCCCAGAATCTAGATAAAATGACTCCATACAATAGTTGTGTACTGTATATAATTTAGCTATGTATCCTTGTTCTTAGGCATTAGCGACTGACACATTAGCTTTCTAAAATATTATCACTACCTGTCTTAGGCAGCTTATAACTAGTCAGCATTGCAAAATTATTGTTAAAGAAAGAAAGTTTTAAGACTGTCTTGGATCCAGGGTCAGAAAAAGATTCTCTAGTGCCCAACGTGAAACCGCTAAACAGCCACCCACCTTTTTCCCCCAAGCTGAGATGTGTACAGTGGCCAGGCCAGTGCAGAAATGACAGCCACTGGTCCTAGAGTTAACCCATTTTGGTCCAAGGACAAGAGAATGAGATGCGAGGAAGATGTGATATGGTTAAAGTAGTGTGATTTAGTCATGATCAACATTTTAAAACACCATTATTTTAACCAACATTAATTCTGGGAAATAAAATAGTTTGTAACTCATCAAAAAGAGCAGATTGTATTCTGTGATTCATCCCTTTTTTAAATAATTCTGTTTCTGGTACAATGAAGTGCTGCAAAGTGGTTAAAAGTGGGCTACAACTGTTGCCAGGGATAGAGAAACAGGTAGTGGCTGTCTGACTGACAGCTCGAGACTGCAAATTACAGTGTATGGGTTGTTCCCCAAACACAATGTAATTTTCAGAGCGTTTTCAGAGCGTTGACGACTGTGTACTGCTCTCTGTGCGTCACTAGTGGTTGTCACATAGACAGCAGAGCTGCACTGATTATATCTAGAGAGCCAGGTTCTAGTGTATGCTAGAGGACTAGGCTGTCAGTTTGACAGCTTTGGTCCTGCTCAGTGCAGGATACTGCTGGGCAATGCAGAGGAAGGAGAGGTTTTGCTGTTAATCTCCCCCATTGCCTTAGCCCAGCCCTGCTTGAATCTGGTTTCCATCTGAAAGTTGCCTGAGGCAGTGCTTTCCTCAGCTAGTTTTATAAATTAGGCCAGATAAAGTGTCCTGCTTACCTTTTTAGTTTAGGATTAGATTATATTTTAGGGGTCACTCAAGCATCAGTCCAAAAAAAAAGTCACAGTAGTACAAGTCTTACTCGACAAACAATACACACAGCATTTTTCATTGCATTATCTTTCCTGAACAAATGGTTTAGAAATTAAGGCTACTAATGAGAAAAACTATATGAGCCTTCTGGATTTATGACCTCTTTAGAATTCTTTTGGCTGCAGTATAGCCTGATCAAGATAATTCTGATTTTGAATATGCCCAAATACACCTATATATACTGTATACAGGACATGACACCTGTAGTATCAGTTTTTTTTTTTTTTCCTTTTTTTTTGCTTTTTTTTGTTTATAAGGATACTCCCACAGGGTTCCCTAAAAATGTAAAGTTTATTATGACAGAGTATTTTTTTTGACCGTACCTAATTGCTAGCTGTAGTAATGAATAGTTAGAGCTCAGTGTAAAATGGGGGTCAGCAACCTGTAGATGGCAGCCAGGTGGCTGGCAGACCATGATCTGTGCGCTTGCTGACTCACCATACCAGAGCATCAGAGTGCAATGCAGGGCGAATACTTGTAAAGTTGGAGCTGTAGTAGGGAGCAAAGCCGCATAAGCCAATACCTCCTTTGTAGTGCTGGCTCCTGTCCCATGCGAAGTGATACCAACTTCACTCCACCTGTTAGCCCGGCTAGTGGTCTGCAGAGTGATGCCAACAGTAGGAAAGAAGAGATCTTCAGGTTACTATGAAGCAATACACTGGGCATCATAGTATAGGGCTGCTTTCACATTGAAGTGCTGCAGTTTACCCACATACTTTCTGAAAGCGCACCAAACTCCTGAATGCATGCGTTTCGGTGTGCTTTCAGAAAGTGCCCCCACACCTGCAGGATATAATAGAAGTCTTTGGAAAAGCTTAGCTAACCCATAAAAGTCGCAGATACACCCCCAATGCAGGTAAACCACAACACAGTGCAATAGCAGCCTTATAAGAGGGCTCAGGACAGTATTATTTATTTCAGGTACTTATATAGCGCCGTCAATTTACAGCGCTCTTTACATACTCTCTCTCTGTGTGTGTGTGTGTGTGTGTTGTACATTCACATCAGTCCCTATCCCTCAAGGGGCGTACAATCTAAGGTCCTTATCTTACATACACACACATATTAGGGCCAATTTAGACCAGATCCAATTACCTACCAGCATGTCTTTGGAGTGGGGGAGGAAACCGGAGTATCTGTAAGAAACCCATGCAAGTCCAGGCAGGTGGTGTTGTGGTTGGGATTCAAACCAACAACCCTAGTAATGCCAGGTGGAAGTGCTAACTATTTAGCCACTGTGCTGCCTGGTAAGGGTTAGGGTTAATTTACATGTGCAGATTGGGGGGGTGGTCAAACTCCATAGTTAAGACATATTTTAACACCCCCTGCCCCAACCACACCCCTTTTAGCTGAAGTGGCAAGGGGTGTACACAAGTTGCAGCCGTAGCAGGTGTCACATGCTCTGTCGTGGTTGGTGGTGTAGCACCTGCCAAACATGACCCATTCAAGTGAATATGGCCGCTCTGCAAGTACCCTGAGAAATAAAAGATGTATCTCCTGCGCCTCCAATAATACTATTAAAATACAGCAGCCAGCACTACGGATGCCACAATCAGAGCACCCACAATAGAAAGAGGATAGAAATAGAAAAACAGTGCGGCGCTTCTATAACCTAGATGTAATACAGATAACTTATCACATGTAACTAATAAGTGATAAATAAGTGATACCACACAGTAAAGTGACTAAAGCACAATAACATGAATAGTGTCCATGTGGAAAAAAAATGAAGTCATGCAGGTGTGCACTTCAAATGCCAATCCTCAGACAGGTGGAGTGCCCCCCTCCTCACATAAATGGAGTGCCAATCTGCAGACACTACAAGTGCCAATCCTCAGACAGGTGGAGTGCCCCCTCACCTTCCTGCCCAGGCCCCACAGGACCAACGAGCCTTGGGTATATAATCGCTCTATATACCCCTGAGCGTGGATGGATCCCTCTGCTGATGGGTTCCCCGGATGTCAGTATTGGACTTCTCCTCCTCTTAACTCCTATGTAGATCGTTGGTAGTAGCGATAGGTCTCCCTCCCTCACGATAACAAATGAGGAAAGAGAGCTTGCATAGTGTAAAACCGCTTTATTCAGACAATAAAAAGTGAAGAAACGTACTCACATGCTTCTAAAACAAATCAGGCCTTGTCACCACTCAGAGGGTGTACTGTATTCAGGACCAGGTGCACCAAGATGGCGCCCGCGCCGGATGTGACGTCAGAACGTTCAGTCGTATCAGCTCCTCCCCTTGGCGTATCTACGCGTTACGTCACTCACACACGTGACTTCATCAGGATAACGCCCATCCCGGGTGGAGCTTTATTTATCCCAATCGCTGGCCAATCAGTAATATAAGTGGGCTGAGCTTCACCGCCATAATAGTGGAGCTCACCTAGTGTGTATAGTCATCGGGGACGTCTAGTGACTAAACGGGCCCGACCCTCTCAGGTATACAGATACCTATTAAGTCTTAATGGGATAATACCTTGTCTAACATATAATAAAATCATAAGCAGCAAGAACCTGGCATATATAGAACAATCATAACGATAAGGGTAAAAATGATTATAAGGAGGATATTAGGAAAAACTAAAAACTTAAAAAATTCCTTTATGAAACCATTCTATACCATCAGGTAGAATATATGGGATGACACCTGTCACTGTCAAAAAAATATGAAAAAAATGTATAAAAACTGTGTTTACTAAGGACAATACATATGTAAAGGGTAGGGGTATCTATACCAAAAATGATACCTCACTGTAATAATAAAACCTAAAATCTACATAATAATATATATATACTAAAAAACCCAAAAGTCATATGTATACGGTACACCATCATCATGATAGCTTAATTAAGCAGCAGTTTCCTAAGCCCATACCCACCACATATCTTGGTCATGTTACACATACATAGGCCTAATAGTGTCCAAAACCTTCATCAATAAATTCCAAGGTGAGCATGGATGAGGAATACACTAGTCATTACTTTAGAAGTTTACTAATGAAGCAGTTTAAGTCAAATTCTACTTTCAAAACCTCTCGGGTATTGGGACCTCATCAAAAAGATCCATTTTGACTCTGCCTGGCTAATGGCTCTGATCTTGTTGCTTCCTCTCCAGTGGTTGTTAAATTCTCTATACCCCAAAACTTTAATTTCGTTGGGTCGCTTTTATGATGTATAGCAAAATGTTTGGAAACACTATGTTTGGTGTGCCCTTTTTTTAATATTCTGCATCGTGTTCTCGGATCCTTTTCCACATAGGTCTCTCTGGTTCTGCCAATATATTGAAGTCCACACTCACACTGGAGGCCATATACTACACCTGCTGTCTGACAGATATAAAGTCCTTGATAGTATATGTCACTCCAGTTGTTGTTGCCTGAAATTGTTTTCTTCTTATATTTAAACCCTTTGTCTCCCTACACGCATAGCAGGTCTTGCAGGGGTAGAACCCTTTTAGGTCAATAATCGTGGTTCTTAGATTAGTCTGGGGTGGATCAATCACATTCTTTACCAACCGAGACCACTTTCTAATATTGGAGCCTTTCTATAGATAATTTTGTTTTAGCAGTATAACTTTCGTCCTCTGATTGTAAAATGGACCAGTATTTCGAGAAAATCTTCTCGAGTCCTTTTGTGGTGTATGTTATAATCTAGAACAATAGGTACAAGTCCTCTAGTTGTTTTGTTTGTTCTTTATCCTTAAGTAATTGGTTCTGTCCATATGTTCTAACCTCCTCCATCTTGCTTGCAATAAAGTCCTTGTTATAGCCTTTTTGCTCAAACCTGTCCCCTAGTTTTCTGAACTGTGCTTTAATAGTCATCCACATTGGTACAATTCCTTCGCAGGGCGGACA